GCTGGGGGAGTCGGAGGGGCCGGGGCGGCCGGGCTGGGCGGGACAGCGCGGCTTGGGCGGGCTGCCTCCGAAATAACGCCTCGTCTCCCTGAAACGTGTCTCCGTCAGTCTTTTTTCCAGAGGTTTCTTCTCTGGGCGGACGTCTTGGACCCCCTGCTGCTCCTGAAATCCTCCGTGAGTACGCGGCTTGGCCTCGTCGCGTTTTAATTCAAAGCCGTGGCTGGCGGCACCGGTGACAGGAGGGACGGGTGTTTTGGGGCCCGGGCCGCAGGAGGGGACTCGCCCCCCTGCCCTTGGCGCCGGGACGTCGCCCCGGGTGCCGGGGCTCTGCGGGACGGCGTGGCCTCAGCGCCAGCTGCTCGGTGCTCCTTCGCTCCTGCTCCAAAACGTGTCAGGTAGCAGGAAGACTAGCAATCGACCTTGCGAATTTTGACTTTGCTAAGGTGTAAAATAATACCATTACAAAGCTTCGGAGGAAAAATAAAATACCTATACATATACATATATATATATATAAAAAAAGAAATATACGTGTATGCATTTCTATGTATAATTACATAAAACAAGGGGCATTTGGAGACACTACCATTTCAGCAGTACTGTTTAGACTGTGGCTGCTGTGCCAACAGTTGAATTAGCCCAATTAAGAATCAGGAAACCCCCAAAGACAAGAGAGATGAAGCGAGCAGCTGGGCGGGCTGTTCTTAAATAATCTGCTGCTGGAGGACTCACGATGTGGAGCTGTCACAGCTTCAGGGAAGACAGGTTTGCTGAACTGCATCACAGGCATCCAACATCTCTGCTGGCTAATCCACATACCCGTCCTTATGGTGCAGCTTAATCTGAAGGTCACGAAGCTCTTTGATTCTCCTCCAAGTGGATATACTGAAAGGAATCCTACCCTAGGAGGGCACACACCTGATTTGTAGGGCCTTTTTATACCAGAGAATTATTATTACAATTTTAACATTAGTTATTGAAAGTGTCACGCTAAACACATTGTTGATCATAAAGTGTAGCTTCTAAATTTCAGGAACTGTCATGACAGCAAAATTCTGGGGAAGATGTGCTTTTCTGTCAATCCACTTCTGTGTAGATTTGTCAGGGATAACAGAGGAGAAAGCACAGCGCATTGTATGAGAGTCGGCTGGTTGGTCAGTATGTTAAAGGAATTTTTGTTGATGGATTTTTTAATTTATTTTTTAAGGGAAAGCTCCATTAAAGCAAAAGGACACTGTCAAAATGTGTGTATATGAGATATTTCCTTGTCGCTTGCAGAGTTAGTGTGTTGTATGTATCTATTCATCTATCTCTATATATGTGTATATGTGGTATGAATACATATCTGTCTATATATTTACATGTACAAATAATATAATTTACTAAATGTGCATTATATATATATGTAAACGCCAACAAGAAAATTTTATAGTACATTCAGGGATTTGGAAATCTGGGATTAGTTCACACCTCCTTGAATTAAAATACACTGTTGCAAAGAGACATGTGCCTGTTCAAGAAAAGTCAAATCATCTCATAAATTCTCCTAAGAGGGACAGCTTTTTATGTAGACTATGGATAACTACATGAGTTACAGTTTTATTCTCTTTGTTTAAGTGTACCTGTTTTCCGTAATTAAAAGCTTAAGCCGAGTTTAAAGGAAGAGCGTAAGACGCAAAACTTGATCACACATTTGTGAACGTGCAGGAACATCTAGTGATGTTGTGACTCATTTCTGGTAATTTTAAAAGTGGTTTGGAATTTCATTTTAAAATAGTCATCTAGGTGCCTGTGGGGATATCAGATGGTTGCTTTGGTGGCAAATTTTTTAATTTGCCAGCAGACATGGATAACTTTAGATACAAGAATAACACTCTTGATTTCAGTGAGGTTTTTCATGTGCTTAAAGTTCAGGTGCATTTATGTAATGGGTTGAAGGATTGATACTTAAAGAGACCAAGGGGGTCTGAATAATCTAAAAGTTTTTATGACTGTGAATTAGTTGTGTGTTGAGGTGTGTTCTTGCTTTAAGTGCTTTGGTGAAGGACAGGTGCATTAGCTTGACATTCTAGGTTTGTATTTAATGTGTCTTATAACTGATACATTGCACTGTAGAATATTGAAATCTGAGTTATTTTTTTCTCATTGGTTTGTTTTTTTCTCAAATATAGGATGAAATAAGAAGAACCAGGTTATTATTACAAAACAGTGGAAAGACGCTAAGTGAGCCCATACAGAATGATCAGGTATTTTGGAGCGCAATTTGTAGAAAATAGAGGTGTCTTTTTTTTTTCATGGCTGAAATAGTTGCTATCAGTGTAAGATCTAGCAGACAGAATACTGAGATTCAGATACAAGGGATAAACAAGAAAAAATCATTACTACAGAGATTCTAATCTATGAATCTAGTAGGAATTTCTTTGGATGACTACTGGTGCCAAATTGCAGTATTATTATTCTGAAGAATGCTAGGTTGTCTATCATATAGCTGAGTTTAAAAGAAACCCTCGGATCACTCTAGGTATCATTGCTTTAAGCCTGTCTGTCCTCAGCTGGGATGATATAGGTAGGTGATAAATATGTAAAATGCTTACTGAGCTCATTTTGAATCTTTGATGTTGTGTCATCATATAGAGGGCAGGTTGGTTTGGTTTCACATCTCATAAAATGAGCAGTAGCAGTACTTGGGTGGAAAACTTCCTCATGGAATTGCTGGAAAGTAGTGCTGAGCCCTTGCTTTGTTAGGAGGAGTCTTTCTTTTGATTCACTGTGGGCTTGGCTCTTCCCATGTGGCATTTAGTACCTTCTGTGTCAAAGTCTGAAAGGAGAAATAAAAGCTTCTGTGATTCCAGAAAAGCTGAAGTCTTAACATAAGTGTTTAGGCTTTTAGCCATATTTCAAAATTGTTGTTTTCTGTTTTAAAATACCTACTAGCTTAACTTTTTAAAATTAAC